TGACCTGTAACAGTTCTTGTAGTAATTTTATTCTTACAGTAAGTGAAAAATGTGTGAAGTGGGCAGGAATTAGCTGTATACTTGGAAGGCTTTAGTTTTAAAGGAAAAATTAAGTTACCGTTCATTACCTCAGTACCAGAGAATTGATTTAGGATTTCTGTGAAACTGAGCCATGTTGGCTGCAAATAGGAATTTGTTCTTGGAAAGATAACAGCAGCCAGCCTGTTACCCTTGTTTACACTGTAAAAGGTACATAGGAAAAGAGGGAATCACATCCAGCGTGCACTCAGTGTAATTAAAACATGAAAAGTAGTACTGCTGCTTTGGCCTTCTTTCTAAACAAATGTTAGGGCAAATGTTCAAAACTAAGAGGAGCCAAGCAGAGGTTGCAAAAATCTCTGTGTGAATTCAGATGACTGAATTTTGGCAATTCTGTTGCACCCTTTCTGACCAAAAGAGTTCAGATTTGCGTGCTTTTGTCTCTGTACTCAGGCCCTCGGTGACTGAAGTGATGCATGTTTCAGAGGTGCTTAAAATCGATGTGAATTGCAGCCGGATTCTCAAAGGCTGATAGTTTCTTTGCACATTTGTGCTGGTGGTTGTGTGCTCCAGACTAATGATGTAAATATCTTGAAATATGCCTTCTTCAGCTATCTCCTGCTACTTTAATACTCACAATATAATCTGAAAATTGCCTCAGGCAAAGAATGAATGCACAAATACACAAATGAATTTGCTTGGTATTACCCCTGAGAAAAGATGAAAAGAAAGCCGGTGAGTCACTAAGGAGGACACTAATCTTAGGAACTTTATACATCCAGATAAGGGCATGTAAGGATGGTGAAAAATATTTGCAAAAGCAGCTGAAGAAAATTTGCTGCCAGGCTGTCTTGACACGTAATCCATCTTTCAAGCTGAGTGGATCAGCGCTTCAGAAACAGATTTACCAAGGACCTTCTATTTGTTGCCATTCTCCTGTAGCCATTCTGAAATTAATCTCAAGAACGTATGTCTTAAGAGCTAACTTGGGGGGGGGGTGTATATATATATTTATGTACATATTTTAAAGTGTATATATCTAGAGAAATAAAGAGGGGGTGGAAATAGAGCGTCTGCAGGAAGAATTGCATTTCCTTGTACACCTCTTCTTTTTTTAGTCCCAGTTTAAAATAGTCCTGAGAGAGAGTCTAAAGGCATTTGAAGAAATTTTGACTGACACTCATTTTTATAGTTACATTTTTAAACCATTTCCTTGCTTAAAGACTCATTTGTAAATGCAAGAGAAGAGAAGAGAATCTATTTTTCAGGCAAGTTGCCTTGACCGGGTCTTGGATGACACTTCCACACCCACCATGCGAAGCTCAGGATGTGCTGGCATATAACCAGAGATCTGGAAGGTTGTTAGGGAGTCTGCCTCTCCTGTTAAAAGCTACCAGGGATCCCCAGGCCATATGCATACCTTGTTCTTGAATAAAATCCCTTAGCTTCCCTACATGATTTGTTCCAGTGTTTAACTGTCACTGTTGGAGGGTGGAGAGAGGAGAGTTCTACATTGGTTTTGATTAAGCGACGCCTGTCATGACATGGAGAATCTTTGAATGTCAGCTATTCTTTCAAGTTTTACATTTGATTCACCTCTCTATCTTCGTTCTCCTCATTTCCAGACTACATAAACAAGATATTTGTGTGTGTGTGTGTTTGTGATGTAGCTTGTCACAAAAGCTATGCTTTTAAAACCATGTGACAGTTTTCTTGTTCTGAAACTTTCCAGTTTGCTGTACTTATCTTAAAGTGCAGTGGTAAAACTGGATTCAGCGACCAACAGCAAGGAATAAAGGAAAGCAATGAAGTTTCATGTCTTATGCATATGTGTCCTAGAATTATATTTCTTTCCTTTTGAAATAATGGTGTTCTTGTCCAAGTTTTAATCTCTCAGGTTCTTGAGAGATGCTTGATGTGTTAGTGCTAATTTTCCATTTGTATTGCTGTCATGCTTTGAACATTTTTCCTGAGTTTCATCATCATTAGAGCATCTCTAGACTAATGATGAAGATTATTGTAAATGACAGTTGTTACCTGCAAATGAGCTGCAAGCTCTGCAAGTTCAGTGTCATCAGCCAATTTGAAAAATCTGCTTTTTTATTTCACTATTCCAGTTGTTAAGGTTGGACTGTGAAGTACTGAACTTAATATACGCAGACCTTTGAAAGACCTCATTGGTCTGTATTCTTCCAATTTGATAGAAACAAAATCATTGCTACTCTCTGAATAGCTTTTTTGGACAGTTATGCAACCATATAATAGAAATTTCAGCCGGATTCTGTTTCCGATTTACAGGGGAAGCTACTGCAGCTCCTGAAGGCTTACTCAGAAACCATAAACTGAAGTGTATCAAAGCTACTTCTTTTTGCCTATCTGTATACCCTTCAACGTGACAGAGAAAGAAATTAGTGAGGCTTGATAGGATTAATTTTTCATTTCCTTATTATCATACATTGTTTTGCAATGGACTGTAATATTTTTTTCTTATGTTTAGTATGGACATTGATCTTACTGACTTGTAATTCTCTCGGTACTCCTTCCCCTTTTAAAAGTGGGTGTGTTTGCTTAGGGGTTTTTGTTTTCAGAAATAGCTGATAATGTTTCAGAAAATGCTTTCACTTGTTACTTGAAATCCACTGCAGACTACTTGGCTCATCCCCCTTTTTTCATGTACTGTTGTGACTTTCTTGGTAAACTGTACATTTTACCTTTACACCCTATCGATTGCCAGGCATCAGCAGGCCTTTTCCTGCGAAGACTCTTTTTCTCATTGAAGTATGAGATTTGTCAGGATGAAAGGAAAACTGTATTTCTTAGTGTATCACTAGGAATTTTCAAGGTAGGATGTATGTCTCCATTAAAAGCTGGTACAAAGGTTTCTTCAAGGTGAAGCCAAATTTGGAATTTGCTGCCTTGAAGTTGGCTGGATTGTTTTTTTTTAATGTGTGTGTCCTTATCCAAAAGGTGAGAAAATTCGGTTCCATGGCAGTGCTGGGCTGGGTGGGGTAGGAGGCTGGAAGGTGAAGGGAGAGACTGTGAGGAGAGAGACTGTGCCGCCTTTCCACCAGCCTCCCAACAGCTGGTCCAGCCTTCCCGAGGGACATTACCATCTGATCCCCTCTTCCCACCTTCTCCTGTCCATTTTCCTTCCATATCTTCCTTTACATTCACTGTCCCCAATTTCTTGACTTCTTGAAGCTCATCTTTCTTGAAGAGACCTTACACCTTACTCTTAGCATTCTGTTGCTGCCCTGTAGAAGGGATAGTTTTCCTGACTTCCCCAAGACACAGTGAAGGAGACTTTGTTTGTTGCTTGTGACTGAGAACATGCCCAGCCAAATGCTGAGGGAATTATTCTGCTTGGTGAGTGAGATCTCCAGCTAACGGCTGAATATTTCTGTGGTGAGGGATGTTGTTCTCTGGCTCTTTGTGTCTTTAGGCAAATGTCTGCTCTTCTGCTGTGATTTAATGTGAAAATGCAGTTCTTTTTACAAGAACTTCACAATTTTCCCACTTTAAATTTACTTGCAGTGACAGAATATGGAATGTCTTAGGGATTTAGGCAGAAATGTTTCTAATTATTGTCTTCTCCATCTATTAATTTAATTCCTTTTTGGCTTTTGACAGTATGTATGTATAGTTTCATTTTAACTAATGCTAAAAATTACTATTGAAAACACTTGCTGAAGAACACATTTTCTCTAACCATGTTATAGAAACGTGGTACTAAACAATAACCAACAAAATTTGTTATCTCTGTATGATTTTTTTTTTACATTTTGGTGCTGGTAATTAAATTATTAAGTTGTGTATTGGAAAGATGTTTACCCCGTACATGCTGGTCTGATTTTTTCTATCTGTGTCATCTATGAGTTTGACAATTTAACTGATTCAGTTCCATATTTTTCATAAGTCATTCCCATGTAATGGGCTTATTCAGTCAATGAAGTTAAAAAAAAACCCACAAAACTAATATTGAGTCAGTATTGGTGTTTTAAAGGATAATGTGTGACTTCACTGGAGAAACCAGGTGTGCCACAAGTTTCAAATACCGATAGCAATGTTGATTTCTTCACAACTGTGTAAGAACAGCTGATCTCCAGTTGAAACTACTATTGCTGGGCATTTCCAGCAATAGAGCCATCGTAACATTACTGAAAATTGTTAAATATTAGTGTAGGCTGGAAAAAAAATTTCCTGTGCCATTCCTGAAAAGGGGAGCGAGACATCCTGAAAGTGCAATCATAATTTGTAGGCTGGTGTGAGGAATAGCTTAGCGCTGTGAATGCAAACTGCTAAATGGTTGCTGTTCCACTGTGAAACCCTGCTGCTGAAAACTGCTTTGCAGGGATGATTTTTCTTTTTTCCAGTGTAACCTAGACTCTGTGAGTGGTGGTTCTTTCAGAAACAACATTTACATGTTGCCTTCTGGGTATGTGCTCACAGAGATATGAAGAATAAACATGAAGTTATGCCTCGTGTATTGAAAAGCTGTAACAAGGAATCAGTTAATAAATTATAAAGGAGATTAATAATTAACTGCCTTGTCTTACATCTTTCTGATCTTAATCCAGCTGGTACTTCATAGCAACATAATATACCTTCCATCCCCACTTATCTAGTCATGCTTTCTCTTTCATGTTTCTCTACTTTGCTTTATTGCCATTGCTCATCAATTTCCTCTCCGAGTGTATGGTGTTTACAGTCCCCGCTATATAATCCTGAGACCTATTTTAACTAATGCGTGAATAAACCATAGTTTCAACTTTCTCCTTAAACAAACCATTTAGTTTAACATATGATGTGAGTTAGAAGGGACAGCATAGTAAGTAAGATGCCAGACCTCTAATTTCAAAGACACAGTGTCATTTTCTTTACTAATAGCAGTGATTCCATATAAATTCCTAAACATCAATGATTTCAGGAGACCTCATGAATTTTCCTGTACTGTTTTGCAGAGGATTTCCCAAGAAAACAGGCAGAACTGCTAGGATAGCATCAGATGAAGAGATTCAAGGGTCAAAAGATGCTGTAATTCAGGATCTGGAAAGAAAACTTCGCTTCAAGGAAGACCTTTTGAACAACGGGCAACCGGTATAAAAACATAATTTACCCTGGGGAATGGGAGTGGGCATCATGGGTAGCTTCTCAGATAAGCTGCATCTACAGTAATTGCTGTAGATTATTTTTATATTTTGTATTTATTATTTTTACTTGCATTTCCAAAGTTGCATTTCCATAAGGAATGATAGCATGAATTTTGGCTTATCATTCCTTCTACTGTTTGACAATTTTACTTGGACTTAACAAAGCAATGGAGGTCTCAAAGATGATGAATTCACATAAGAAGCCTGCACAGTCTGTAACTTGAGGGCTTCTTCAGCCTCAGAGGCTACTTGCTTTTGACTGTTCATCACTGAGTGGCTGGCCAGTAAGCACATGTATAGCTCTTGAGCAGTCCAGGCTCATTCTGCCTTTTGCCCAGATATTGGACAATGAAAGGGAAACAATAGGTGGCAAGTGGACATCAGAGGGGGACAAAGCAGCTCATCATGAGAAACAACCCTAACTCTAACTCCAAGAAGGCCAGTGGTATCCTGGGATGCATCAAGAGGAGTGTGGCCAGCAGCTTGAGGGAGGTTCTCCTCCCTCTCTACTCTGCCCTGGTGAGGCCCCATCTGGAGTACTGTGTCGAGTTCTGGGCTTCCCAGCTCAAGAAAGACGAGGAACTACTGGAGAGAGTCTTAT